GAGGAATTGATGCGGTTTGACACCATTTTAACTGTCATGCCTCAATGCTATGCAATCAAGGGATGTGTAGTTTGATGAGGTACCAGCATTCTTGGGCAGAGAGGCTACTTTGAAAACTACAGCACCCATGATTCCATAGTATTGAGCCATTGCAGTTAAAGTATTGTCAAACTGCATTGTTTCTGCAGTGTAGATGCAGCCATAGAGTTGCAAGAGACTACAAGGACCATTCAATCCAATCCCCTCCCATGCAAGAACACATAATCAAAATACTCATGACAGATGGCCATTCAGCCTCTGTTTACAATCCTCCAGAAAAAGAAATTCCACCATACCCAGCAGTCAGCTTCTCCTTCTCCAGACCACAGCTCAAAGTTCCTCTTCCTAGAGATTCATCATCTGAAGTGATCAGATGATCCTAGGATTTCTCAACATGTTCTGGGAAGAACCCAAGTGCTTCCTTTGAACCTGGCCTAGAAAGATGGCCCGATAGAACCTTAACCTGAAACTAAAGGTTATATCTACCATCTAAAAGCACCTGTGTTCATTTGCTGTCACTCATCTTAAAGGTGTACTGACACTGTAGATATTCTTCAAAGAATCCATAGAGCCTCACCAACTGCCTGGTTGCTGACTCTTTGCTTGGAAAGAAGCTAGCAAAAGAAACGAAAACTAGGTTCCTCCACCTTTATTAATACTCATGAGGAAATTCCTTCTTCTCTTCTTAATGATACAGGAGCTTTGCGCCCTTTTGTATCTGGCCACTTTGAACAATTAAAATCATGTGGCAATTACTCTTGCATTTACTTAAATCTTCTCATAAGAGCTCTTTTTAGATGGTATGGATGTAAATAACTGAATATGCAAATAATATTTTGCATCATATGAAGAGCCCGCATATGCGTACAGTTGTGTCTAGAAACTGACAAAAACTAAAAAAAATCACATGCAAGTTGGCTGTGCTAACATTTTTCTACCTCCGTTGTTTACAGTATTTGCATGTATAACTCTGGAATATGTTAACCTTTCCTCTTCATACTCTTTACATTTTTTGTATGAGTCCAAATCATTAAAATCAGCATTTAGCCCAATTTTAATGCCCCCCATTCCAGTTTACTGTTTAATAAATTTACATATTTGAAAACTCAGTTGAATGTATCTTGGGGATTATTATTTAGGATTAAAGGAAGAGAGAGAGAGAGATTTAAGCTCTTGTTACATTCAGACCTCAGCAAATTGTCCCAAATGGCAACTATGAAAGCCTTGCTAAAGTTCTGCCATTAGCACAAGTGCTGACTTTAGGAAACAACCATACTTCATTCTGACAGCCCAAGATGCATTTGAGTTACTTTATCTGTAAACTCATTCTTCATGTCCGAAAATAAGTGTTCTTAGAAGGATGGGCATTCTGAACAGATGCATCTAAGCCGAACTCATGTAAGTGAAAGGGAAAATGCATTCCTGTTTAGTTACTAATTTGTGAATAAGCCCAAATCAATTTAGTGGAATTTACTTCCAAGTAAACATGTACCAAAATGCACTGGAAGTTACCCTGAATTATAATAAGGAAATTGTGTTGTTTACAATAAAATTACATTCACTAAAGACAAAGGAAACATCAACTCAACTCAATTGTAACATAAAATACACTACAAGCCACTTATCTATGGATTCAGTATCCATGGTTTCACTTACCCATGTGCCATAAAAGTTCCCTACTGGCAGTATTTGTCTCTAGGTCCTCTTTGGCATTTTTCAAGTCCAGGTATAATCGCTATTGTCCATAATTTCAAGCATGCATTTGGGGGCGGGGCCGCGGAGTATTTGTTGGATTTTCTTGGTGGGTTTGTAGATTGTTTGTATGTTGTGTTTCCTCATCAGCTTCCCTATGTGGACAGTGGTTCCCTTGATGTATGGCAGGAACACTTTTCCTCTGGGTGGATCTTCATCTTTACTCTTGTGGCTTGTTCTTGGTCTTGCAGCTCTTCTGATGTCTGAGGTGGAGTATCCATTGGCCTGGAGAGCCCAGTTGAGGTGGTTCAGTTCATCTTGGAGGAGGTGGGGTTCGCAGATTCTTTTTGCACGGTCTGCCAAGGCTTTAATGGTGCTTCTTTTTTGACTTGGGTGATGGTTGGAGTTTTTATGTAGATATCTATCTCTGTGTGTGGGTTTTCTGTAGATGGTGTGACCCAATTGTTGATCTGGTTTGCGGATGACTAGGACATCTAGAAAAGGCAGTCTTCCTTCATTTTCTTTTTCCATTGTGAATTGGATTTTTGGGTGGATGCTGTTAAGGTGGTCCAGGAACCTGTTGAGTTCTTCTTCTCCATGGCTCCAAATGGTGAAAGTGTCATCCACATATCTGAACCATAACGTGGGCTTTTTGGTTGCTGTCTCCAGGGCTTGTTTTTCAAAGTGTTCCATGAAGAAATTAGCTATGACCGGGCTGAGAGGGCTCCCCATAGCTACTCCATCTTTCTGTTCGTAGAATTCATTGTCCCACTGAAAGTAGCTGGTGGTGAGGCAATGGTGAAACAGAGCCGTGATGTCTTCTGGGAACCTCTGGTTGATGAGTGCCATGGTGTCTGCTACCAGGACCATGGTAAATAGAGATACCACATCGAAGCTGATCAGTTTGTCGTTGGTATTTAGCTTGAGATTGCTGATTTTTTTCTATGAAGTGGGCTGAGTCCTTGATGTAGTGTGTACTGAGCCCAATATGCTTGCCATAGATGCAGGCGAAACATCAGGAGAAATGCCTCTAGAACATGGCCCTATAGCCCGAAAAAACCTACAAGAACCTAGTGATTCCAGCCATGAAAGCCTTCGACAATACATTGATTATTTCTGCATTTGATTTATTAAAATATTCCCATCCAAACCCAAGTAACGAAGGTGGAGGCACTACTTTTCAGTCAACCATCGTATCATATTTAAATACTAGACGTTCCGCAAGATAATAGAGCCTGGTGTCCAAATTGGGATTGTGTAGAAGTCAAGTGAAGTGAAAAAGCTCCTATTATGGTCTGTTTCCCAGCCATCCAATGTGAATCCAGTTGCCTTGTGGATGCTTCTCTGCATGGCAACAGAACTATGCTCTGGGGAAAAACTAATGCTGCTCTTTGCTTGCTAGAGCCACAACAAACAACAAATTCCATGATTCCATAGCATTCAAGTGTGGTAGTTAAAGTGGTGTCAAAATACTTGTTTTACAGTAAAGGTGCAGCCAAGGTCTCAGACTGACCTGTAAATGCACTGTGATAGAGGAACGTTGTCTCCAGCTTCCTCAAATTTGGATTATACTTGCTGCATCTCTCCTAATTATTGAGAAGGGCAGAACTCAAAATTAGAGTGCATCTACACCAGGCATGGGCTGGTAGGCTGTTAGGAATTGTGGGAGTTGAAGTCCAAAACACCTGGAGGAACGAAGTTTGCCCATGCCTGATCTACATGTTAGGATGAAGGCAGTGTGACTACTTTAACAGCCATGGCTCAATATTATGGAATCTGGGAGGTCTAACGTTATGTTTACCTTTAGCCTTCTTTGCCAAAGAGTGCTGGGACCTCCCCAGACTACAAATCATAGAATCATAGAGTTGGAAGAGACCTCATGGGCCATCCAGTCCAACCCTCTGCCAAGAAGCAGAAAAATTGCATTCAAGCACCTCCAACAGATGGCCATCCAGCCTCTGTTTAAAAGCTTCCAAAGAAGGAGCCGCCACCACATTCCAAGGCAGAGAGTTCCACTGCTGAACGGCTCTCACAGTCAGGAAGTTCTTCCTCATGTTCAGTGGAATCTCCTTTCTTGTAGTTTGAAGCCATTGTTCCGCATCCTAGTCTCCGGGCAGCAGAAAACAGAGGCCCTCTCTCTATGAATTCCCCTCACCAGGCATGTAGCCGGGGGGGGGGGGGCTTGAGGGGCTTCAGCCCCCCCCCCCCCCCGAAATTCTCATGGTGGTTCGTGAAAAGGCCTTACTGGTGCATTATTTAAACTGTTATGTTTATTCATATCATGATCTGATCACCATACTCAATAGATCCCATATGCATGGGGGTATTGGGGTAATGATACAAAAGGTTTGCTAGGCTAGACCCTCTTTCACTCAGACTCAGCCCCCCCAAACTCAGCCCCCCCAACCCCCCCCCGAAAAAAATCCAGCTCCCTCCTCCCTGTGGCTTCCTCTCACATATTTATAGATGGCTATCATATCTCCTCTCAGCCTTCTCTTCTTCAGGCCCAGCTCCTTAAGCCGCTCCTCATAGGGCTTGTTCTCCAGACCCTTGATCATTTTAGTCGCCCTCCTCTGGACACATTCCAGCTTGTCAATATCTCTCTTCAGTTGTGGTGCCCAGAATTGGACACAATATTCCAGGTGTGGTCTAACCAAGGCAGACTAGAGCATGGGTAGCATGACTTCTCTGGATCTAGACACTATGCTCCTATTGGTGCAGGCCAAAATAGGTTGGGTATTATATCTTTTCCATCTTTTCCCAATTGTTTAGTATTATACAGTGATAACTAAGCAATAGTAGGACTCCTTTCCATTTTTATCTCCATAATATTTTCTGTTTCTTTAAACACCTTTCCCCCCAAACAACTTACATCTTTACATTGCCACATATTTCTGTTGGCTCTTAGGAATGGTGGCAGCTGGAGCCCAAAACACCTGGAGGGCTGAAGTTGGCCCTTAGCCTGCTCTACACCGTGCAAGGATCCCACTGGCACCGCTAGGGAATCGGGAGGGAGAGCAGGAGTTTGGTGAAGCCTAGGACTCTAGAACCTTGCCAAAGGCTAACACACGGGGTGGCATCGCCTTGAGCCGGGCCAGTCGAAGCGGGGTCCAAAACGGACAGAGCGCTCTAGTGTCGGCGGCCCCCAGGGAGTCCCTCTAACTCCTGGGGGTGGCGTGGGGTCGGGGTTTCAGGGCGGTCCGCACTCCCCGGGTCGCGGAGGGCAGCTCCCGTGGCTCTGCCCCCCTCCTCCTCCTCCTCCTGCTGCTGCTGCTCTGCCTTTGGGGAGGAGGGGGAGGAGCCTCGGCAGGCGGAGAGGCGCTGCCGGTGGGTCCCACCTGCGCGCAGTTGATGGGCGAGGAGGAGGAAGCCAAGGAGGCGGAGGCGGAGGGAGAGGGAGAAGGACGGCGGCGGCGGCGGCGCTGCCCCTTGGCCCTCGCAGCTCCCGGGAGGCAGCCTTGCCCTTGCCCTTGCCATGGAGGACACGCCGGAGCCCACCGTGGTCCAGCCCGGAGCCGCCCCCGCCGCCCCTCCGCAGGACCCCGAGACTCAGCGCCCCGCCGAAAGGGAGGAGGGACACTTCAGCGAGGAGATCGAGGACAGAGGTGAGCCGGGCGGGAGCCAGGCAGGCTTTGGGAGGCACCAGCCCACCCCCCCGCCCGCTTGAGCCGCTTTATTTGGGGTGTGTGTGTGTGTGTGTGTGGGGGGGGGGGGGGGTGTAATCTCCAAGGTCTGTCTCCTTCCAGCCTCCCTCCTGGCTCCTTCGCCCACTTTAGGCGTTGGGGTTCCGTCGAGGCGCTGCACTCTCGCTTTGCATTTTCTTTCTATCTCTTTTTTCTCCTTCCTTCCCTTTTCTTTCTTTCCGCTTCCCTTCTTTTTCCTTTCCTCCTTCCTCCGTTTTTGCCTTCCTCTCCTCTTTTCTCCTCCTTTCCTCTCTTCCTTTTCTCCTCCTTGCCTTCCTTCCCTCTTCTCTCTTCTCTCTCCTTTCTTCGCTCCCTTCCATTTCTCCCCCTCCTCTTTTCTTCCCTTCCTTGCTTCCACCTTCCTCTTCTCTTCTTTTTCTCCTCCCTTTCCTCCCTCCCTCCCTTCTGTTCTTTCTGCCTCCCTTCCTTTTCTCCTCCCTCCCTTCGTTCCTTCCTTTCCTCCTTCCTCCGTTTTGCCTTCCCCTCCCCTTTTCTCCTCCTTTCCTCTCTTCCTTTTCTCCTCCCGGTCTTCCTTCCTTCTTTCTTTCCTCCTTCCCTTCCCTTCCCTTCCTTTTCTCCTACTTCTCCTTCCTTTCTTCTGTTCTTTCTGCCTCCCTTCCATTTCTCCCTCCCTCTTTTCTTTCCTTCCTTTCTTCCACCTTTTCTCCTCTCTTCCTTTTCTCCTCTTCTTCCTTCCTTCTGTTTTTTCTTCCTCCTTTTTCTCCCCCTCCCTCCCCCTCCCTTCCCCTCCCTTCCTTGCTTTCCTTCCTTTCTCTCTCTTCTTTTTCTCCTCCTCTTCCTTCCTCCCTCTTTACCTTCCTTCTGTTCTTTCTGTCTCCTTTCCTTTTCTCCTCCCTCCCTTCGTTCCTTCCTTTCCTCCTTTTTCTGTTTTTGCCTTCTCCTCCCCTTTCCCCCCCCTTTCTCCTCTTCTCCTTCCTTTCTCCGTCTTCTTTCTGCCTCCCATTTCTCTCTCCCTCTCTCTTTTCTTCCCTTCCTTGCTTCCACCTTTTCTCCTCTCTTCCTTTTCTCCTCCCCTTCCTTCTTTCCATCCTTCTGTTCTTTCTGTTTTCCTTCCTTTTCTCATCCTCCCTCCTTTCCTTCCTTCCTTGTTTCCACCCTCCTCTTCTCCTCTCTTCTTTTTCTACTCCCCTCCCCCCTCCCTCCTGTTCTTGTTGCCTCCCTTCCTTTTTTCCTCCCTCCCTTGGTTCCTTGCTTACTTCCTCCTTTTCTCCTCTCTTCTTTTTCTTCTACCTCTCCTTCCTTCCTTTCTTTTCTCCTCCTTCCTTTCTCTCTCTCTCTCTCCTCCTTTCTCTCCCTTTCTCTTCCTTCCTCTTCCCCTTCCTTTTCCTTCCTTCCTTCCTTCTCCCTTCTTTTTCCTTTTCTTCTTTCTTCATTCCTCTCCCTCCCTTCCTCTCTCTTCCTTTCTCTTCCTTCCTTCTTTTCTCCCTCTTTTTCTCCCTCTCTCCCTTTCACCTCTCCTCCTTTTCATCTTCCCCCTTTCCCCCCACTTCTCCTCCTTTCCGCCTCCCTTCCTTTTTTCTTCCCTGTCTTCCTTCTTTCCTCCCCCCACTTTTCCTTTTCTCTTTCCATCCTGCTTTTCTCTTCCCTCCCTCTCTCTCCCTCCCTTCCTTGAACAGTTCCCTCTCCTCTCCTCCTAGAGGCACTTTCATAGAGGCCTGACCTTCCCCTCCTGTCCTCCCACAAAGGTGACCCCAACTGGACCCCCTCCTCCTGCCATTTCTAAAGTGTGGAGAAGAATCTCTTGCTGCCTCGAAGGCACTGTAGAATGAATGCTGTTGAATGAATGCACTTGGACACTGCTTTAACTACCAAGTCTCGGTGCTATGGAATCCTGGGAGTTGTAGTTTGGTGAGGTGCCAGCTCTCTGTGGCATATGAGGCTTGAAAGGCTACAGCTCCCAGGGTTCCATAGCATTGAATCATGTCACTTTGGCCCCTTCCACACAGCTGAATAAAATCCCACATTATCTGCTTTGAACTGGAATATATGATGGTATGGACTCAGATAACCCAGTTCAAAGCAGATATTGTGGGATTTTCTGCCTGGATATTCTGGGTTAGGTGGCTGTGTGGAAAGGACCTTAAAGTATTAATCCTACACTGTAGCTGCACCCTAAGATTCACAGGCAAACTTTAGCACCAACTCCCCATTGGAGTCAAACAAACGCCCACAGCTTGAAAATACTTTTTACAAAACCCCAACAAGCAAGCCTTGATGTTGCCACTTGATATCAGGGATGTCATTTTCCTGTGCTCTTTCACATCATGGGACTTGAACACCCACAGATTTTGGTATTCATGGGGAGGGGTGTGTCTTGGAAACCTCAAACCCCCAAATCGCCTTGGATCTTTCTCAGACATGTATCCTTGTCATGTGTTCAGAAGCTGCAGTTCCACCCAAAGCGAATGCCCCCAAATCCTACAATGGCATCTTTGTGGAGCATCATTTCCAATCATCCACATCACAGCCCCCCTTGGCCCTTCCTTTCCCAGTGCCCCTCTCCCTGGCCTTTCTGCCACTTGATCTATTGTTGCCTGTTGTCTTACCCTTCACAACAGTATTTGAATGCCCACATTCTCCCTTCTCTCCGGTCCTTTGCCATTCTCAGAAGAAGAAGAAAACAAAATCCCGCAACAAAACCTCAAATGTAAACATGTCCGTAAACAATCACATTTTGAAAATGCGTCTTTTCCTAAGCTAGGCAGCCACATCAATTATGCACCTCTCTCTTTTATCCTCTGCTTTTAAAAACAGGTCATGCAGAAACAACCCCTTAACCATACACTTTCCCTAATGCATTTGAACCTCTGTATTCAAAATGCAATGAAAGAGGCATTTGGTAACCTTCCCCGCCTCTCTTTTCAAGGAAGGGTCATTCAGCCCATTGTCCCCCAACACAGGCACCTGCCCCGCACGCGCCTATTCACCCGCTTGGCATATATGGTGAATTCCCTTGGAGTCTGCCCTTTCTTTCCCTGTCCCTCCCTGCCTCGCACATACAATGGCATTCAAGTTTCCTCTGAATTCAAGCTACCACCTTTCATTCCTTTGGAACATCCTCTTGGCTATTGTTTGCAGTCTTCTCTTCTTACCCCAGGTTCCTTTTTGTGTTGTTTGAAAGGGCAACCTTCCCAGCAAACATTCTGGGCGCAAGCGTATTGTGCAAACAAAAACAATAGTAATGATGATGAGATTAGAAGCATCGCTCTTCTTTATTTTGATGGAATGAGCAATGTCTGTGTGCTTCCAAGCCTCTTGTCGATTTATGGCAGGAGGGTTTTCTTAAACAAGGAATACTCCAAGGTCGTTTTTCCAGTCCTTCCCTTTGAAATATAGCTTAGGGCCCTTCCACACAGCCCTATATTCCAGAATATCAAGGTAGAAAATCCCACAATATCTGCTTTCAATTAGGTTATCTGAACCCACTCTCAGATAATGTGAGCTTTTCTGCCTTGATATTCTGGGATATAGGGCTGTGTGGAAGGGCCCTTACGGTAACAGGTATTCATTGTTGGTCTCCCATCCAAGTTCTAACCAAAGCAGAGCTTGCTTAGTTTCCGGGACCTGGTGTCTTTAAGGGGAATATCGACCGATTTTGTTTAAGATCCAACTTGGGCCCTTCCACACAGCCATATAACTCAGAATATCAAAGCAGAAAATCCCACAATATCTGCTTTGAACTGGGTTATCTGAGTCCACACTGACATATATTCCAATTCAAAGCAGATAATGTGGGATTTTGTTCAGCTGTGTGGAAGGGGCCTTAAAGAGGGCATGGAATCAAAAGGAATTGACTTGTCTGGGAATATGCCTCCCGCTATGTATCCTTTATTCACTTATTGAGATATATCTATATCAAAGTGACAGAGAGAGGGAACAAAGGCCCCAGTTAAATGGATAGCAAGTGTGCCTGTGTGTGTGCAAAAGAGAAAAGAAAGGGACAAAGCACCCATATGGGCTTCTTTCTAAAACCGGCTTTCCTGATTCCCCTTAATATGAGCATAGTTCTGACTGTTGGTATTGGATAGCATTATTTCCGAGGAAATTTTGGGAATAATTTCATTTTTCATTTTTTCTCTGAATCTCAACCCCATTTTGATTGTGTGTAGTTCAAGCTGTTTGGTTGCTTCTGAGAGGAATATGAAGATTTTAGACGTAGGGCATATTCAACTGGATTGAAAAGACTAGAAGCTCGCCGATTATATTCCTGTTCTTTTTAATTTTATTATGTGTCTACACCATTAAGATTTAAATAGCAAAGACAGATTTCAATTAAAAAACTAATTGAAAACTTAGCATAGACTTTCATCTGAAATGTTAAAAAGTAAATGTGGAGAGCCAGTGTAGTATATTATGTATTTATTTGCGGTATTTATATACTGCCCTTCTCAACCCTGAAGGGAACTCAAGGCGGTTCACGGTGTAGTATAGTGGTTTGAGCACTAAAATACAATTCTGGAGACCAGTATTCAAATCCCTGCTCAGCCATGGAAACCCAGGGCCCTTCCACACAGCCATATAACCCAGAATGCCAAGGCAGAAAATCCCACAACATCTGCTTTGAACTGGTTTATCAGAGTCCACACTGCCATATATTCCACTACAAAGCAGATATTGTGGGATTTTATTCAGCTGTGTGGAACAGATCCCATAGGCAGGTCACACTATCTCAGCCTCAGAGGGAAGGCAAAGGGAAACCAATTAAAAAAAACATTGCCAAGAAAACCCCATGACAGAATAAACTTTTGGGTTGCCATACATTGGAAAGAGCTTGAATGTACACAGCAGCAACAAATATGGTGCTGATTAAAGGCAGTGCTTATTAACTCCTGGCCTCATAAAGACATGGTCAGCTGAAAGAATTTTCTATGACTTAGACAAAAAAATAGACAACAAGAAAAATTAGAAAAGTTAAATAAAATCCATTATTATGAATGTTAAAATGCTATCTTCTATAAAAAGCTCTGACAATGTTGGATACAATGCCACCTTCGTAAGACTAATATAGGCATTTCCTGTAAATTGCTACATAATTCCTGTTGGTTGATTATAGTTTATCCTAATAATAGTCCAATGCAAATCTGAATTATCGTTTTAAATGAAATTGGTACACATAATGTAGCCGCAAAGGTCTAATGTTACCTTTCATTCTATGTATTTGGCAGCAGTAGGATGTTTACATGCTGTACCCGGGGATTTTTTTTATAGATACAAGACAATGCTTTTAGGAGGAACAATTTTAATTAAACCAAGGAAATGAATCGTTTTAGATTGGAAGGAATTAATAGCATAACATTTCTCAGATTGCAATAGTCAAAAATTCCCTATGTGGAGGCAGACTTTCTAATATTTGATAATCAGAATCTGATTTTAGTGACATATGTCCTTTTAGTTGCTCACTATCTGTGTGAATGATGAATATCAACAGCCAGTATCTTGCACAAATCCGCATGTTGCTCTTTTGGCACGGAAGCACACATTCAATGAGGCTTTCTCTAATTTATTCTTCCGATAGCCTGATTTGGTCAGTCTGTGCTTCCCCACGGTGACCCACAATTAGAAAACATATATTCATTTGAAAAGAAGTGTTTTGCAATTCTTTTCAGCAATCAGGTGACCAGGATGAAAAGAAAGGAAGCTAAATGAAGAGATGCCATCATTTTAAAAGAGTGGCGAAATTTTAGTGGTACAGTAAGGCTCTTGGAATGAAAATAACAAAAGAATCAAATGGAGGTGCCTGTGCAAGAAACGGATTCTTTTCCTGTCCTCTAATATGCATGCTCTAGTTTTCATATCAGCCCTTTTCTTTCACCCTGTAGTCAAGCTGCCATTTGGTTTGTACATCTGGTTAATGGGCACCCTAAGCAAGCCTTCCTCTTCTTACTTGGCCTCTAATGATGGTGTGAATGCAAAATGGGGATGCCAAGGTGCAGTGAAACCTTCAGTTATAGTTTCCTTTGTGCTCAGGGTAGCAAGTAGCACATTTTAAACCTCCTTGTGAGCTGCAGGCACACAGCTGGAGACAGCTGAACTCATGCACCTGTGTTTGTTTAAATATGCTGAATCAAACGACAGCACACATAGAAAGCATGCATGGGGAAAATTCATTTTGGGGGGTTCTGTTGGGATCTTGCTATCTTTTATTAAAGCAGCAAAAGGAATTATTTTCAATTCTTCCATCAGGTTTACTAGAAAGCAGCACACGATTAAAACCTCATGAAGCTCAAAGCTACAGAAAGAAGGCGCTGTGGGTTTCTTGGGCTTCCATTGTTGTCACGTTGGCCCTGGCAGTTGCTGCCTTCAGTGAGTATTGGACCTGCTTCAAATTTTTAGCTTCATATTTGGTACTCAGAGATTTGCTTCCATACAGTTCATATATAACTGACACAATGATTTAGACAAGACTTGTTTGATGCTTATGAATCAATAAAGCACAGCTCTGTGTATCTTCCCTCCCTTGGAAAAAAAATCACTGAAGGTCGGATGATGATGAAGAAGAAATTTGGTTCTCTTTAGCATTTTTGGATATAGAAATATGTCGATTGGGCTAGATCTATAGTGTTATATGATGCAGTTTGGAATTGTGTTTCTATGGTCAGTGTAGACCCTTATAATACAGTTCAAACTGCATTGTAGAGTTCTACAATGACCATATAATGCAGTTCAGTGCCACTCATGTTGCATGATATTAGGGTTCTACACTGACCGTATAATGCAGTTCAGTGCCATTCATGTTGCACAATATTAGGGTTCTACACGGACTATATAATGCAGTTCAGTGTCACTTATGTTGCATCATAGTAGGGTTCTATGCTGATCATGTGATGCAGCTCAGTGCCATTCATGCTGCATTATTGGGTTTTACACTGATCATATAATGCAGTTCAATACAGTTCATATTGCGTTCTATGAGTCCACATTTATCTTGTGTATTTTACTGCACTATCATGTGCTTTTGTAAACCGCCCCAAGTCCCTTTGGGAGATGGTGGTGGGATATAAATGTTGTTGTTGTTGTTGTTGTTGTTGTTATTATTATTATTATTATTATTCATAGTATCAAAATATCTAGTGGTTTTATTATTAACTAAAAAAAGAGAAGTAGGAACTGTACCATCCCTTGACATCTATCTGTGATACACTCACACACACGCACATAAAGTATATGTGTGTGTCTATATCTATCTCTAATCTACATATATATGAATGATATTTATTTACTTGTCCTATAATGTAACAACAATGTTTGGAAGGCATTCTTACATTCTGCAAAGATTAATTCCCTTTTGGGACTGATTTAATAATGTTCATGTGGATGTGATTTTCTGCTTTAGGCTGTTTAAGTTAATATTTAAGAAGGAATAACTTTTTTCTGATTTTTTTCTGATCACTTTTTAATGACGTGCCCAGTGTGGACATGTAAATTAATGTTACTTTACAAATCAAACAAAGTAAAAGACTCATGTGAAAGGACATTCACTTACCCAGACAAAAATAAAACTAGGAGAAATTTGCTAGTTATCCTGTGAATAATGTAAAGAGTTCTTCTATTTTGGACAGAGTTTTTTTTAATGCAAAGTGCCTGATTGTTCTAATAGTTAAAAGATCTGTTTATTTGGATGGAGAAATTGTACCATTTATTGTTCCAGAAATAGAATTCCACTTCCCAGAGGCACAGGATTGGTGTGCGGTGCTCAAAATATCCTTTCCTGGTGTGAGAAAAGCTGAATGCTGGAGCAGCATATGTTCCCTTGCTAATCTGCCGTGATGGGCTAGTGCTGAAAGTTGGTGTCAGCTCCCAAGGGGTGCTATTAAGACATGCCCAAATGCGTCCTGCAAAAGTCAGCATATATTACTTGGTGTAATTGGTATGGAAGGCACACACACACACGGTGTTGACTTTTTACAAATAAAGAAGAACAAAACATTAAAGCAGGGTTTTCTCAAGCTTCTATAAATGCTCTGTTTCACTGGTATAATTTTCTACTTTGCAATGAATTATTTATTTCTGAAATGTGTATGGTGGGAGGTGGAAAAAGGAAGTATATAGGTAGAGGAAATCAGGTCTGCTTTGCATAGTTTTTATGCATGCTTGAAAATGAAGATTTTGTAATAGAACTCTTCCCTTCTTAATTGGGCAAAATGGAGTAAATATTTAAATTTGCTAAAAGGTTATTCTATTTAGAATTTAAGTTTTCCATATAATTGTATTTGTAGTAGCATGCTGTGTTGAAATCAGAAGCATTTTTAAGCCTGAGTATAATACTAGATTATGATCATTATTCTAGCTAAAATTATTTCTAAATATCAGTTTGCTGATTGGTTTTGTTTTGTTTTGTTTTCCTTCTAAAACAACATAAAATGTTGCTATTATGTGGGAGAAATTATAAGGAGCAGGAGTACCCTTTTAAGAACCAATGTGTTGCATCTCCAAATTTAATCAGAATTGTTTGATTTGGAGGAACAGGATTTCCAGACTTAACTTATTTTTGGAGTTGTTCTAGATCTTGTTGTGCAGAACATATGGGCATCAGTATATATGTCCCTCTCCAAATAAGGCAAGTACAGTTTGGGAAATTATTCAGATCAGGAAATTGCTTCATGCCTATCCCTAGTGCTACAGTCCTTTGTTTTCCCCAAAGTTTTATTGTAAGTGGGTTGCTGTGCGTTTTCGAGGCTGTATGGCCATATTCCAGAAGCATTATTTCCTGACATTTCACCAACATCTATGGCAGGCATCCTCAAAGGTTGAGGTCTGTTGGAAACTGGGCAAGTGGGGTTTATATATCTGTGGAATGCCCAGAGTAGGAGAAAGAACCCTTGTATGTTGGAGGCAAGTGTGAATGCTGCAATTGGCCCCCTTGATTAGCATTGAATAGCAACTTCAAAGCCTGGCTACTTTAAATTGTGTATTTTAATATTGTGATACATGTTTTTGGTTTCTATATGCTTATATGAATTATTGTCCCGGCATTGAATGTTTGCCGTATATATGCTGTGTTCCGCCCTGAGTCCCCTTTGGGGTGAGAAGGGCAGAATACAAATGTTTTAAAAATAAATAAATAAATAAATAAATAAATAAATACTTCCTGCCTGGGGGAATCCTTTGTTGGGAGGTGTTAGCTGGCTCTGATTGTTTCTTGTCTGGAATTCCTCTGTTTTATTGTAACAGCAGATAGACATAATGGAGGAGCTTCTTTCCCATTTGCCTGCTATGTAAGGCCAATAGTGTATAATTGGGGCTTTGCTGGCATAGCGTGTGTTGGGAGGCTCTCATTGGAATCACTATCTGCAGGAATTTCAATAGTCAATCCTCCATATACTATGACTAGGAGACACAGATTTCTCCTGCTTCCACAATGCAAGGCTACAGAGTGGTTGCACTGAGTGCAAAGTAATGCATGGGGCCACGTCAGGAGAACCCTCCTATTACAAGCAAAAGATTGCCAGTTCTGTGAGTACTTCCTCATTTCTTTCTAACTGTGAAAAAGTGTGGGTAGGGGCATGAAGAGAGAGAGAAATGAATCAATAAAAGAAGAAATTAAGAATGAATGAAGAAATGAACACACTGGCAGGAAGGGAGGAAGCATAGGAAAACAGGAGAAGCTGCAAGGAAAGAGAGTATCTTCCTTTAGGGCAGGGGAAGTCAGACAATGCTTGTATAACTGGGGAGCTGGGAACCCACACCCTTGACTATAACAGTGAACTTTGTATTGTGTGTTGGTGTGCATACTTTCAAGTGCTTTGAATGAGATTTTCCTGCTTCTTGGCAAGGGGTTGGACTGGATGGCTCACGAGGTCTCTTCCAACTCTATGGTTCTATGATTCTAAGTATTCTGGTGACTTATGGTAGTCTCATGAATTTCATAGGGTTTTTCAAGGCAAGGAACACTCAGAAATGGTTTGACATTGCTTTCTCCTGCATATAGTCCACAGTATGCATTCCTTGGTGGTCCCTGTGAAACTGTTGCAGGGAAAGAGGGGGGAAAACAGTAACCTTGCAAATATATCACTGAATAATAATTGTGTGAATGAGAATTAAGCAATAATTAAAGGTCTATCATTATCCTGCTCTGATAATACCTAGCTTAATATTTTAAAACTATTCAGTGGAACTTATCAAACCATCAGAAAACAAAAGATGTCAGTATCTCAAACATGTATTTGGACAATTTTGGAGTACAGTCAGCCCTCGACATTCATTGCAAGTAAAGATGCAGGACACCACAAATGTGGCAAAACTGCAAATACTGTCCCCCTCCCAATATTTTTTTTTACATGAAAGAATACCTTTTCAGGTTTTCCAGCTCATACTGGATTTAAAATGGTCTTTGAGAGGGAACGTTTTAAATCAAAACTGCAATCAAATCTGCAAAAGTCAAAGCTGCCAATTTGCAGGGCTGACTGTGCTTTGAATTTTGGAGTTCCACACAAGGGATCCAACTCAACTTGTACCTACTTTTTAACCATTTGTTGGAGAATTACCTGCTAAGAAAATAAAGTGATGGGGTCATTTGATGCAACAGCTATAATGCTGCATAAGGTTGTAGCAATTTATTTGTATTTAGTTAGAGGTTTTTTCTTGGCTCTCTCTATATTACAAAATATTCCTTTGGCATGTAATGTGCTGTCTATTCTCATCATTCATATTTGATTTAATTTCTCAGCCGCTTCTATTTTCAGTCAGCTTTCAAGTTGAGATGTTTCTCAGACAGCTCAGTGATTGTTTCCTACGTGAGATGACTGGCTTCTGCTTGTCAGATTTGGGTTAGTGCAATTTACTCTGAGAATTGTTTGCAAACACCTGCTATTTATGGCACGCTGTTTCCTCTCGTTCTGGCTGCTTCCCTATCCAACTGTTCACAATGGCAAAAATGTTAGCACCGAAGAGCCCAGAGTCCACAGTGGCTTCTGTTCCTCCCTTGAGACCTACTATCCAAATTGACTGTCAGACTTTACATTTTTCTTTTTCTGTTTCTTATGATTTCACCATTTTCCAGATAATCTTGAATGTTTAGGAAATCTCATTTTATAATTTCTGCTTCTGTACTTATGCAAATTTATGTCACTTTAAATCTAGTAATGCAATTAAGTTAGGGTATATGAAATGTTTTGATAAGTGGCAATCTATCTTTTTTTTTAAGGAAAGACATCAGTACGCGTAGGATTGAAAATCCCCCCTCCCGCGCCATTATGGCTAATGTATGGCTTGCATTTTGCCACTGTTGTTTGCTTGTGTTTACTATATCTTCTAGGACCCCAAACTCTTCTTTGATGCAGCCATTTGGTGTGAAAATTCGACTG